GATTAATTGATAATGGAAACAAATGTAATTTGCAGTCTTTAAGTTGAGCTTTTTGTAATCGTATAAATTAGTCTCTCTGTCTCGCAGTACTCCTGTTTGCAGCAGAGCGATATTGTGTACTTAAGCTTGTTGACACAACAGCATAAGAATGTTTGAATCTAGCAACTGATATGCATTTGACAAGCTGTAATACTTGCAAGTACTAGAAGGTTTTATAGAGAAGTGAACACATGTAGCAGACATTTTATTGTTAGTTGAGACATTTGTTGCATATTGATGTTTGTATTAGACCTAGAAAAAAAAAACATCTAGCATGAGTGATTAGGTCCACAGTGTTTGCAGACACACATTCAGATGCTTGGTTGGTTGGTTGGTTGGTTGGTTGGGTGTGTGTGTGTGTGTGTGTGTGTGTGTGTGTGTGTGTGTGTGTGTGTGTGTGTGTGTGTGTGTGTGTCCAGGCTTCATTGTGCTGACTGGTTTATTGCTGTTCCAGGTGACAGAGCATGAGAGCAGCAGCGCTTCAAGGTGCTGCTTTCAGGCACCACTGAAGCCACAAATTTGATTATTTTTTTGCCTCCACAAGTAGTTCAGAGTTTGCATGAAGCCCCCCTTACACAGACACAAATACACACACACACAGCTGCCTGAAACTGCTGTGGATGGCATGCTGTGCTACCAGGAGCCTGCATTATGCATTTTCATCTACCATTGTGTTTCTGTTAAACATCTCTTGTTCCATGAAGTCAGCGTGTTACGTCCTGCTCTGTTGAGGTTTGTTATGGCCCTTCGTGGTATGTACTCAACATCTTGTATCTTATACATAAAACATGCACAACTCTGGCCTGAGCTCAGAAATGTTTCTGTTACAATGTTACAATTATGTGAAGAAGATGGATGTCTAGAATACTTGATGTACAAGCTGAGAAATGACTCAATTGGACCTGAAAATGTCACTTTTTTCAAAGACTCTATGTGTATCTCTCTCTTATTCTCTAATCTCCATCGGGTGCGACAGTGGGCACACGGATCCTACCAAATCAAGGAGAGATTAAACTAGGAGTGTCACATTGACACTGGGAGTTTGATAATGGGACAAAAGGAGCTCTTTCAATTACAGCTATTTCTTCAGAGAAATCTGCTAAAAAGGAAACTCTTCCAATAACTTTGTCCTTTTTCTGTTTGTTCATTTTGACATTTAAATCTATCTTTCTTTAACCTTCTTGCAGTCTAAATTCAATAGCGCTCTAACGTGTTTCATCAAGATAAGATGGAGCTGAATCACCTCTGCAAAGAGCTTTTTGGACTGTGTAGTAAAAGACGACAGCCGATCAATGGAAGTTTGGATTTGTTGACGATACTTAGGAAAGGACATGTGGAAGATGTTATGCCAAGTTAAAATATTTGTGTGAACTTGAAAGCTACCTGCTGACACCTCGTGACCTTTTGATAATTGCAGATAGGAACCAAAACTAGGTAAATCAGTATGATTGACACAAAAGGAATCAGCAACTATTTAGATAATTGGCTAAACGTTTAAAGGAACAGAGTGTAAGACAACTAATTGGCAAAAATGAAATATATTTGGTGGCAGACTTTGCTTCATCCAGATCTTTGAACTCCATTTCATCATCTCAATGTTCAGTGTTTGCTATTATTTATCATAAGAAATTGAATTTCTGAAGCCTTTGGGCTGTTAGCCAGGCAATACAAGCTATTCAAAGACATCACCCTGTGCTGTAGGAGTTTGTGATGTGTATTTTTCAGCATTTATAGATCAAATGATTAAAGCAATGGTTGGACATTTCAGGAAACTTTAGACCAAGAGCTGTTTCTGAGGGTGCGATTAAACTTCTCCTCTAACTCTAAGCAAGAAACTGAAAAAACTCATTTTGATATATAGAAATACTACATATAGCATCCTAAACAGATCCTTGTTTTGATCATGTTGATTATAAACATATTTGAAACATGAAAATGTTATAGGATACCATCTACAGATAACAAACGCATCAATAACTATTCATGCTCCGTGTTATCCTTTTTTCTTTTACCCATTAAAAAATACTTTATGATTATTTTTTCAATTGTATATTTCATTTACAAGATCCTTCCCTGTTGAGCTTAATCATTTAACATCCTTATCCAATTCCTTGTAATTTGTTCAGTTATTGCTGCTTTTCACATTTTGATGCCAAGCTATGCATTTATGTTTCATTGTGTGTCACTGCGTATCGAACAGATCAGCTGGTGTCATGGTGATGAATGTGCATCCTGAATGTGCCTAAACAACATCCTCACAGCCATCTCTCTGCTACTCTCAGGGAGTCAGCTGTCAGCGGTCTCGGGCAGCACCGTCAAGTCTGATTCGCTCTCCATTTTGGTCTCCATAGCCAAAGGGCCAGCTGCTTCCAACTTTAGGGCCTGTTATCTACTGAGCCCCTCTCTATTGCCTTTGGCTGCCCTCTGGTCGTCTGTCTGGCCTCAGATTCAGCCGAACCACAGCTAGTTTACAGATAATTATCAGGCTGTGACCAGCTGTGTGGCGCGCATCCATGGGCCCTTTGCTGCTAATTGAATTAGACCCCATGCTGGAAGTGACAGAGAAATGAACAGTTTCCCTCAGCGATCTGTGCGATTAGCAGACTTTAAAGAGGGCAAGTCGGCTCAGGGTGGCACTCTGGTGTAAAGCGTCAAAGTCTTATTCACCCCGACACTCACGCTTCTGTCAGGTTTCATTTTGAGACGTGTCTCAATGGGGGGCAAGCACAGCGGACAATAAAATAAAACTGCTGCCAAGTTTTTACCACGAGTTAAAGAGACCAAATGTTCACTCTTTTTCACCTTTCAATTTATTGGGTAGTAGATATACAACCTGCAGCAGCTTTGGGTTTAAGTCACCATATAAAATGCAATAAATGAACTACTTACAACATATTATTTCAATATAATGCTTTTACATGTTTTACTATATTTCAAACTCACTGGTTCTCCACTCTGCCATTGTTTTTATTCATTTCTTTAATGAAAGGCAAAGAATGTCTTTGAATGTCTTCGCTTTGTATTGATCTCAACTTTGCACTAGCCTAAGATCCTTTTCTTTCCTTGCCTCCACTTTCTCTTGTTTTTATATTGCTTTCATCTTTTGAAGTTGGATATTTCTGTAACAAAAAATACAAACAGCTTGTCTCCATGTTAAAATAAAGCAGAGGGTCTAATTTTAACCTACGATGTCAATTCTTATCATCTAAATTCTCTGGCATTTCTATTCTAAGATGGAATAAAATAAAACTCATAACATTTATAACTTTCGCAGCTGCTATTTAACTCTGCCAACTTGATGCGAGGAGGGAAATAACTGACATTTCGGAAGGGGAGGAAAAGCTAATATCAGTCAACTTTTCTTTGTTTATCTTGAGGCTCTTTAAGTTTGTGAAGGTGGGAGTTTAGCTCATGTACTTGGAGGTGTATAATGAAACATTTGTGCTGTGCAGTCTCTTTCATTCTTTTGCCTTTCTTTCTAATGGCATGCCTAAAGTGTGTGATATTTTCCGGAGCAAAAGTGTGCGTGTGCTGTAGAAAGTAGGCCATTTCTGCTGATGGCTGACACAGGTCCTGTGTGACGCTCACTGACTCTAAATACTCTCAAATGTTTATTTCTGGACGTTCAGTGCATCATCTGTTTGCCTGATGAACCTCCGGTTTTTACCGGCCTGAGATTAGCATCTGTCTTTTCCCAAAGCATTGTGGGACGGGTTATGTAAGTCCATGATGTCGTACTACGCCTTCAGTTGCTCGGTGCTCTGATTGGAACACTGTTATGAAATGTGACACAAGTTATTTGGTTGTCATCTTAATTATTCATCCACACCTCTGTTGGATGTGAAAATTGGGTTGTTGTGTTCTGCTGCACAACACATCTTTCATTCTCTCAGAATAAAACTGAATACAATGAGTATGATGTGGAAATAGTGTCAGACCTACGTGAATATGAGAGCACTGGATACAACATTTTCCATTATTTATTGTTTTACTGTTTTTAGTCTCCTATTTATAATTTAGGTGTCATACATTTGCTCTGTTGTCTTTCTCACATGAATAATCTGTTTTATGGCAATGTTTTGTTTCTTCTAATGAATTTAGAATGTAAGTCATCTTTTTTCTGCCTTGTGCTTTACAGTATTTGATACATGTTATACTGTATGCCCCCTCTCTCTCCAAACTAAATACTATGTGGATTTATTCATCTTTCCTTTTCTCTGTCTCTCTCCCCTTCACCATGTTCAAATTACACGCTGTTGTTTTGTGCCGGTGTGCCACAGAGACCATGCATGAAATGTATTGGCCCCAAGTCCCGCCATTTGACACGCAAGATGTGGCTAACAGATCTTGTGCCATTTCCCATCTCCTCCGGCTCCCGTGTAAAGCTGACCTTTTCTGCCTCCAGGCTTTATTTAAACTGTGAGCACCAGAGACTTATAGCGCTACGGGGACATTTTATTATCAACGCTCTCAATTTGTCTGACTTAATTCGGACCTGCCTTAGATCGTGCCAAAATGTGTCGTTTATTTACGCTCTAGTACGGCAAACAAGGGCACCAGTGACAAAGCCCAACATCAACACCTTAGCGTGGGTGACGCTTGCTGAAGCATACCCTTTGAACTTCCTTGTGATCCAGCCATGAAATTATGGCTCTATTTACAGTGCATATCAATTTGGAAAATTGTGAGTGGAATATAGAAAAAGTGGTGTGATATTATTCCATCACATGTTGACCAGAGAGGCAAACACACAGGGGCCTGACATTTTGAAGAATCTCAGTTGGTAAAATATCAAAGATTTCAACCACAGGTACATTCATCAGCTTTAGCTTTTTGCCGTCATTTAAGCAGTTGAATAAGCTTAGGAACACAAGCACATCCACACATGCTGTATCTTTTTCAACTGTCGCCCAGCCATCTGCTTAACCATTCATTGAAACTTTTTTCCTGTTATCTGGCAGGTCTGAAATGGGAGTTCAGAGGGTGCTCCAGGTGGATCTGAAAATGGAAAGCTTTCCGGAGCCGCTGGGCAGCCGCTGGATGGCCTGGCAGGTGGAGTACCCGTCCAGTCGTGCCGCCACACAAGAGGTTGAGACGGAGATCAAGCTGGCGCAGGAGGACCTGGCGGGCATCGTGCCACTGGCCATGGTGAGTGAGGCCGCTTCCAGCACACTGCCACTCCCAGAGAGATGGCTGCACTGTGAAATGTCGAGCACCACATTCTTTAATTTACACTTCAAGTGGACATTTGCATATATTTTCTTTCAAATCATAATTGAAATACCTTTCTGCACTTGTAATCATGTCTGGTTGAAGTCTTGGGGAGGAACATGAATGTATTCTCAAACTTGTCGTGTGTTTTTAGAAGATGTTCAATTAAGAATTGAGGAACAACATCATAGCATGCTGAGCTCCAAGGATGTTTGCTTTTACACCTTGCTGAGTAAAATATTCTGGCCTAAAAATACTACATGCACATGTATTCATAAATTGATGTCAAGTTTAAATTATTTAGGATTAGGATTTCACAAAAGATGTGATTAGTTTCTAAAAAAGACATGCATGCTGGTCCTGGACCTGCCTGCCTACACACGCCAGACGAGCTTTTAGTGCTATCCAATCTTTTCAAAATAAATCAAAATAAGCCAAACATTTTCTTGAATACCTCTTACACTACTCAACAATATACAAAAAAGTGCAATTAGTTCGACCATAATCAGCTACAAAATCAATATTCTGCATATACTCTGATACAACAGTAATAATATTGCAATCATTTACCCCAAAACACTCTGAGAGGGGCCAACCTGCATACTGTCATACATATATAACCTTTTTAAAAATATATTTTATTTTGCTGTTATAATGTAAGTTTACCTGGATGTGTATTTGTAACAAAGACCTTTTAAACTGTCATAGTGCTATATTTACTTAAGTAAAGGATCTGATTACTTTCTCCACGTACTGCTGCTTGGATAAAAAAGGCAGAGCGATGGCGTGGGTCTGTGCAGACTTTGCTAGAAGCCTCTCGGGCTCCCAGCAGGCCTCAGCTGGGTCAGCAGTCTGGCTCTGGCCTGAGGGGAGCCCGGAGCGGTGTGCCTCCCTCAGCGAGGCGCAGGTACTCTGTTGTGTAGATTAAGCCAAGCTCCCCCTATAGAACTTCACATTGCGAGTTTTGTTCAGCGACCCAGAGTGCACTGCTTCTGATTTAGATCAAGAACATTCAGGTGAACAAATGAGCAACATCAAAGTGTGTCGACTTAAGAGAAAGCCTACTGTCACCTCAGCGCTGATTGCTAAAACAAAAATAGCATTCATTTTTTATTTCGGTGCTTCTGATCTGCATGATAAAGACCTGACTGTTGTGTCAGTGTTATTCTCTAAGTATTGCCCTTAGCTGTGTGGATGATAGATGCATGTGGGTTGCTGTTCCTTGATTCAGAGGAATGCGGCGCAGCCTCGCCCACTGATCCATTCTCAGGATAATTGAAGCTATGTGTTTAATGCTGCAGTATTGTTCGAGTTCCTTCTCTCACATCTTTTTCATGTCACTGATGAATCGGCAGCCTGCTTCCTTTTCTCTAGGAATACATAGTTTGCTTTTACATCTTCCACTGACAAAAGTATTGCAAATTTGATTCACATTGTTATCCCTCAAAATCTCTACTTAAAAAATAATTGACCATAATTCGCTATTGTCTGGATAAGGAAAACACGTTTTGAATAAAATCCTGTTTATTTAACTTTATTTTCAATGGTATGACGAAGGAGAGAAAAAGTCACCTGTATTAATTTTTGTAAAATAAGTGTCCAACCCTTCAAAATCTAACAAGCATTTCTTCAATCAACCTGCTAAATTTTTTCATAAAAGCAGGGATTTTAATGGCTCACTATAAATCATTACAGTGGCAAAAATCCATCTCAATTAACCTGATATTAGAATTATTTGCTAAACTAGGATAAATCAATGAGTTATTTAGGTAGGAGCGTCTCATGAGATTAAGATGTGTATTAAACTGTGTGTGTGACCTGGCTGTGCAGAAAGACTTCATTTAGCCTGTTCCTTACATTGATTAGCTATTCTTTTAGAGGACCTGTCAGTCATTCAGTGAATTAGCTGCTATCATGTCAGAATGTGTTGATATTTTCAAACATTTACATCTTCAGCCTTTTTTGAAAAGACGTTGATTTGGACAATTTAACTTTTTTTATTTTTACTCCATCATGAGATTTTCTCTTCGCTTTTCAAATTCCTTTTTCGTCCAAGTGCTTCTTCCCAAGGTGCACATCATCCCCAGCCACCCCATGGTACTTAACACACAACACAAATACTCATGCAGACACATTCAGAACTCATTAACTCTGTCTGTCTCCTTCTGTCCTCTTTTCTGTCTCCTCACTCGTATACACTCTCCCATATACATGGGACACACACACACACACACTCTCACGCACACACGCACAGATATAAGGCTTTTTGCAATCTGCATGCACCAATATGAGAGTAGCACACAAGCGAGAAAGAGGAAGGCTGAGTTAGATTACTTGGGATCACTGTGGCATGAAAGGCCTACAGATAAGTTCCTCTTCCTTCCCCCTGCTACACTCCTCACTGATAGAAAAAAAGGAAGTAAGGTAATGTAAGAGCAGCGCTGTCAACCCCCCTTACACACACACACACACACACACACACACACACACACACACACACACACATACACACACACCGCCCAACATCCCCATATTGCGTCTTCCAAAGGGGAAACAAAATCAGTGATTCGAAAAGAAAACCGGTTGCGGCACAGATAACTGAAGTCACTAATAGTCGTGAAGATGGAGATGTAGCAGAGCTATATGAAATGTGGGCGGACAGAAGAAATGTTCTAACGTGCCCAGTAATGCTTTGTTGGTGGTGGGATGTAGTGACTGGGAGACCAGGGAACAGCTTTATCCAAATGTTCATAAAACAAATGGTGGATGACTTTAAAACGGGGAACACAACTATTGCAATATGGGAATATCATCATGGTATTGTACGCCGATGTAACAATTCAAATATGTCAGCCCACAAGATCCAATTTCCTTTTGCTGTTAGAGACTGTTGGTTGCAATTAGATCTGTACTGCAGAGGAAAAAGAGTACAAGTTGACTGAACATAATACAGGTGTCCACTACTCTGGAGTTCAGATTTGGAAGATTTATAAGAACAATGTCTATGAGTCTTGGATAGAGTTGAACAAGTGTTGAGCACATTCTGTGGAAATCTCTGAGGCCGTGGCTAGTCAGCATTCAGCAAATGATCTGAAATATGTCGATTTATCCCTTTTCGTAAGCTTTGAACATTATTCAGCTAGCAGAATCAGAGCAACATTGACTTATCTTCTTTTGCACCGCTGGTCGATTGCAAGTCCAACATTTACTCGTGTTTATGCCTCTTGTTTCATTCCCTAACTCCTGAGAAAAAATTCTGGGTCTCTGAGAGCCGAAGTATTGAATGGAACATGGCGGTAAGCCAGTTCTGTTTAGTATTAGCCAAATAACATCACAGTCAGCATTAATATCACACAATATTGCTTAAGGGTTATATGGTTATCTAGCTGTGTTCTTAGTTAGCTACAATTGTAATTGTCCATGTTAAGATGAACTCTAAGCCTTTTTTTTGTCTATGTTGTATATTTTTGAAGTAGTGATCAGTGATGTAGGCAGTGAATCAAGGCTACAGATGAAAAAAGAAGAGGCAAGGTGAAAAGACTTGGGGGAAAGTGTGGTGTTTTCAGAGAAAGCGGAGAGGAAGAAACACGCTTTTTTTAATCAAGTTGAGAGGGGAGACTTCACAGAGCATGCTGAAGGCATCTGTTGACACAACAGCTCTGTGGTTTTGCTCTAGAAGGTCTTTTCATCTGTAATGAGCACTAATTAGTCTAATACCCTAGATTGTATTAGTCGTAATGGAAAAGCTGCAGTAATTGTTTTTGACCAGGAATAAACTCATAAACCAAATGAAGATCCATAACTGACCATGTCTCAAAAGGATGTAATGTAATGAAGCTAATGACTATTAAAAATGAGAAGCTTATTTTGGGTTTGATCACATTTATGGCCTATTACTTCAATTGCTCCACAGACCCGTTCCCAGCCAATTTATATCGTGTTCTAAATTACCATGCCCTTGCTGGAATCAATTATTATAAAAAGGTATTTTTATTGCATTTTTCCAGCCAAGTGATGGGCTCTGCCATGGGTGACACCGCTGGGAGAGCAGCAACGACGTTTTGAAAGACAAAACTCTTTTTTCCCCTTGTTCCCTTTGAAGAAGGCTCCTCCTGTGTATTGCCACAGACAAACCTGCAATAGCAGTGCTCAGAGCACCGCTCACCACTTTGTCACCAATTTCAAACCATAAAGCAGTCATTTCTGCAAGTGCAGCAATTATTTCAAAAGCTGAAAATGAAAAGTGTACTCAAAATCTAAATCGGTTTAGAGCGAGGAAACGCCAGGAACCCTTTCTTTCGAATGTAATACTGACTGGTTTTCTCTTCATCTGCTGTTCTCTACCTCTCCTCTCCCCCTATAGTGTCGCTTCGCTCCACACAAACATACATTAATATATTAACAATGTATATTAATTGCCTCCCTTGTCACCCTCCGTCGCCTCATGTTGGCATTCTCCATTTCACTTAAAGTGTGAAAGAGCTGTGTGTTTTTTTGGGTCATCTTTAGATGAATTTTAAAGGCAGTAATTGGATGCCTGAGCGAATTCCTCTGCACAGTAGGAGGCTGGTCCATTATCTTTTACCATCGTGAAGTAATGCGCTCCTGTCCAGGCTGCCCTCATCATCATTACCCATGCTGTGGATGCCTTGTGATGGAGAGGGAGCAGGAGGACAGGGCATACATCATATCTGGACTCATCAGTCTTCCTGCTCCAGCCGAGACACCAAACTGTGCTCACTCACATGAGCATTCGCGGGCATAGAGATGAGGAGAAATGAAAGCAGCCGTTTGTATTCACAACCGCTCCAATGTATCGTTAAACAATACATCATCACCCTGGCCTTCTCTGGCCACTTCTGCTCTCACATGATAAAGTCATCTATCAACATCCTCCAATGAATGTTTCATTTTCCTCCTTTCAATTCCATTCCCTC